AACCATATTATCAAGTCCTCACTCCCTCTAGTGTGGTCACTATCCATCAACGTACTAAGATGTTATAGAGACATTAACTGTATTATCCATGCTGTACTACTGTCCCCATGACCACCCTATATTGTGATTGTGAATTATTGTGCCCCTTAACCCCCTTCTCCCTCCTCTGCCACCCTCCTCCACCTCTCCCCTCTGGTAACCATTAGTCCCTTCTAGGTGTCTAAGGGTCTAACCCTAACTCGTCATATGATGACTTACTTTACCTATTTTGCCCTCAAGGAAACCTAGTAGATTTAGATAAAAACTAAAATTTAAGTATTAAAAAAAAATACAATACTATTACCAGAATCAATTTCTATATTTAAATAAACATCATATAAAAGGGAGAGCTTTCTCTTTCTTGTACTTTGTCAGAATGATTAAAATAATGTAGACCTGTGTTTATTTACACACAATATTAGAAACTATATAGCAATGCTGTTAACCTAGCCCCAAATTATGAGTAAATTGTTTTCTTTTAGTCATCCATATCAGCTAAAATGTCAAATGAATTATACCACCCCAATTTATAATTCACAAAACTAAAAGTCTGCAGAGATCATCCAGATCAATATTCCACTGATTTTACCTGAATATCCCATTTGCGGTGTCCAATTTTTATAACCTGATCTCTGAGGATTTCCAACAGACCGTGGAGTTTTTAGCATTTGAGGATAATTACTACCTCGTGCAGAAGATGAACTTGTACCCAAAGTAAAATTTGACACAAACGTTTTTTCTGCATAAGATCTTTTGTTTCCAAAGTATGAACCTAAATTTGAAAAATTAAATATCAGTTCTTAAAGATTCAGAATTATGCAGTTTTAATCACTGTAATTTATAACATGTTCACTTTCTATAAAACTTAATCTGGTGATCACTTTTTAAAATATAACAAATTATAACAAATTTAATGGCATTTATAAATAACCTTGTACTAAAATATAAGGAAAAGTGCTTGCTAAAATGGCTGTGCCTCCACAGTTCACTGACTACTCTCGCTAAAATCATGTATTACCTTGTAATCTTCAAATATACCATGTTGACTTAACTTCATTGAAATTCTCTCCTCCCATGCAAATAACATAGTTTTAAACTCACTTGGATTCAGTTCCTTATTTAGGTATTTCCCTACTAATATATTACCTATTTTACAAGGCTACCATAAAATTTGAAAGAATGTAAACAGCCTAGCATAGTCTCTTGGCTCATAGAAGTTCTTAATAATATATATTAGGGCTCTTTTCTCCTATTCCCCTTGATTTCCATTACAGCTATCTTGATTATCCTTAAAAGTTACCTTTGTCAGACCATTTTTCCTGTCTACCTCTTGCTTGTTAGCTTCCCAGTGTTCCATACATTTTTACCTTCTCTCACAAATCAACATACATTTTCTCTGGGCATATCATCTATTATCTTGGCTTCTATTAATATCTACTTCTAGTTGCCTATAATTCCCAAACCTTCATATACAACCCTAAATTCTCTTACACTGTAAACCATGGGTTGGCAGATTTTTAATAAAGCAACAGATGGTAAATATTTCAGACTTTGTGGTCCACACAGTCTGTCATAATTACTCAACTCTGACACTATCATAGGAAAGCAGCCATAGACAACAGAAGTGAAAGAGCATGGCTGTGCTTCAATAAAACTTTGTTTCTAGATATTGAAATCTGAACTTATTATTCACATACCACAAATTAATTTTTACTTTTTAAACCCTTTTAAGATGCAAAAAACATTCTCAGATCTTTACATGTGTTATTCATATTGTAGCCACTTACTATATATATATATGGCTATTTAAATTAAATAAAAATAACTCAATTTAAAAATTAAGTTCCTTAGTCACACTATCTACATCTCAAATGCTCAAAAACCACATTAGGCTAGTGGCTACCATATTAAACAGCATAAATATGAAATATTTCTATCATCACAGAAAGTTCTTCAAACAATGTGGCTTTAGGTCCTTCTAACTAATTAGGATGGAAACATCTTTTGGATGTAAACTTTTACATATCTTCCCAGAACATTTAAATGTACAAAACAAACTTGTTATCTTTCCCTCAAAATGTATGGTCTTTATTACCAGTGTGGTGAAATGTAGTATCCTGTATCCTGTCACCCAACTCATAAACTTAGGAGTCATTCTTAAGTCATCTTTCATCAATTCTAACAGCCCATCAGTGAAAAAGTCTTGAAAATCTTTTCCTTTTCTTTAATATCACTAAAACTTCTCTCCATCTCCACTACTGCGAGCCCATTTTAAGCTCATATATTCTTCAGGACTTTGGCAAGTCTCCTGATTGTTCTCCTTGCCTCCAGTATTATGCCTCTCTAATCCATTCTTCACATCATCCCCAGTGATCTTCCTAAAAAAAGAAATTTCACTATGTCTCCCTTTCTTACAATTCCTCAGTATCTCCCCATGCTCACCAAAGGATAAAATCAAACTCCTTTGTAAGGGTGCCGGCAGGAATAGGGTAACACATTTGAACTAGGATAATTTGAGGAGAGTTTGAAAGAGAATATTTGCAAAGGTGTGGACAAGATGTAAGGATATCATCAGAAATAAAGAAATAAGCAGAACCAGGCAAAGTGCTACATTAGCACCCACAGGCTTAAAGTAGACAAGGAAGGGAGTGGTTACCAGAAACTGGAGACCGAAAGGGTTGTTTACTGTTCTCGCTTACTTTTAGACTCTGAGCCCTTCTTGAAATTTGTTAGTTCTCCAATCCTTTACCTCTATTTTGCTGTATGTTCTTAACTTCTCCTTTCTGGCCTTAAATATAATGGTGACTTTCAAATCTGCAGTTTTCCTAATTTTCTCTTCTTCGACCTAGATTCATACATTCAGTTGCCTTAATGTGAATATATGGACACCCCAAGGGTTCTTCACACTCAACATATCCCTAACAGAACTCATTTTCTTTCTAAAAGCTGCTTCTCCTACAAAATTTCCTTTATCAGGAAATGGTACAATCATTTACCAGAGTTTAATAAATAATTCACAAAAGCCAGAGTTTGATGAATAATTTAGACATAAAATAATGAGAACTTGTAATGGCAGAGAGATAGAAAAGAACAGAATTATTTAAAAGATAGTTAGGACTTGCTAATGGCTATTGGGAGTGAGAGAGGTTGCTGAAGTCTTCTAGGTTTAAGATTTAGCCAAACCAATGATTGTGGTTAAGAGAAACTGGTTGACGAGCTGTGGAGATGAATTAATCATACCGAGAGTCTGAGGTGTCCATTGGTCCCTCACTACAAACTTCAGAAGACATTCTGAAATAGTCAATCTGGAGTATTGATGACGTCTGAGCTGTGGTGACAATCACATCCAGGTAGAAGAGGCCTGGAGAAAAGCTCTAAGGACAAACCAATAATTTGGGAACTAACAAAGGTACACAAAGCAGTGGTCTGATGGGAGAAAAAGATGGAGAGTGAAACCAAAGAAACCAAATGAAGAGAACTGAAGAGAATGCTGGTCAAGAACATTAAATACAGTGGAATAGTCAGATGAGATTAACTGAAAAGTGACCATTGTATGTGGCATTTCTTCCTCACCAGTGAGTTGCAATGGTGTTGGAAAAAAATGGTTTTGCAGTGAATGTAGAGTGACCAAAGACAAGTTGAACTCCCACTGAAGCCACACATTTTTAATACTAATCATATTATTCACCTGAATTAGATAAAATGGCAAATTTAATCTAATTTCATCTCATCCTAGTTCAGACGCGAAAGGGTTCACCATTCCTATCACCAAACTTCGGCACAAATTGTCATCTGTTACATGCTTTTGGAAGGGGGGGGCCATTCTACTGGATATCTTTTACAACCTTCCCTAGTACTGAATGACCCACCACCACCAATCCTGTAATAAAACCAGTCGAAAGAGCCAGCCTTTTAATCCTCAGGCCTATCGTATTCCCTGAGCACTCCGTTCCCATCCTCCAGCCAAACCAATGAAACTTGTCTGTGGTAATCACCAACCACTGCTCCCTGAACCTCCAGGGGCGGCAGCCCTCTAGCCGGCAAGGAAATCCACCCAGCCACTCCTTGCCTTGAGCAGGCGGGGCGCTTAGTGTGCTCTGAGGAAAAGTGCCGCTGCTGCTCTGGTCGCCTGCGGCTCCAGACGTGCCTTGAGGGGTGGACGACGAGGCCTGGGCGGAGGGGCGGCTCTGAGGCGTCTCCTGGAGTCCGAAATTATAGCGGGGAGCCTGTGACCGCAGATCTAGTGATGAGCTGGAAGCCGCAGGGCCTGAGGGCGAGGTTGATGGGACATCAGGCCTCGGCATCCTCATTAAACTCCCCAGGGGCAAGTATGATTTCTGAGCGCCGCTTCAAGGAAGCAAATTACAAGCGACACAGAAAAAAGCGGGAGGACGGTACGCATGCGCGCACCACCACGCAGGCGCACTGAACTCCAGTTGCCCCTCATCTTCACGTAGGAACTACTGCCAGATGTTACCAATTTCATCACTTCCGACAGGGTTTGGTTTCGAGCTCAACCTGAGGTAGAGCCCTCTCCAATGTGTAGGCATTAGCTGAACAGCACTCAGGGCTCATTGACAACTCACCTGTTAGTCCTATTTTTTATCATAGCACCCTAATTCCCTTATTGATTTTTATTATTTAGTGATTTTATTACTTAGTGATTTTTATTATTTCCCACTTACCCCCACATACACTAGCTGCTTTTTAAAATACAGAAACTGTTACCACTGAATACCCAGTGCCTATGATAGTGCAAATTTAATGTTCACAAAGTTAATTACCAAAATGCTAAACATTTCAAGAATCTCACATAAGCCCCTATTTTAAATACTTCAAGATGTTGACATTGGTCAATGTGTTAAGCAAATCATAACTGCTGTGTAAAATTATTCTCAAAATGCCTGTTACACAAGGTATTGTGAATATACTTGAGAAAATTTCAACTTCCACTCAAGAAAAACGTTCACTAAGATACTTTATTTTCACCAAGAATGCAAAACCATTAAGAGAACAGTTGAGTTCATTTTAGTCTTTCTGAAAACACAAGTTCAAAAAATATCGTGGCAAATAGCTTCTGTATCCTTATTGGTAGAGGAAAAAAAAAAAGCCAACCATTTGGTGGATTTGCCAGCATTCTGACAAAATGTTAAGAACAGTGTAGTCGAGACTGCAATCAATCTTATTCTAAGATAAATGTCATTTACCTAAATTACTTTGTGACTAATATACTTATAAATTTTCCCAAATCACAACAGCCATTAATTTTTGTGCATATTTTAATTTACATGGGTTTATCAATTTTTATCTATTGACACTATCATTGACACTGATTTATATTGCCTGTCATTATATAACATATGAAGGGAGAACATGGGAAAATTAAGTACACCAGACATTTTTCAGCTAATTATTTCTCAAAACTCAATCTGCTGTTACACAAACAGGAAATATACTGATGCATAAACAAAATACTGTACTCAGAATAACAGCATTCCAGAAGAAAATCTAGAGCTTAAGATACAATAAAGGTCTTTATTTTACAATATATATAATTACATAGTTTATTAACACAATTCATATATAAAATATGAGTAATCATTTTTAAGTCTGATAAGGACTTCAAATACAGAAATGTTGAGATTTTGAAACTATAGTAGAGCAACTTTTCTATCAGTGACTCTGGCTCACTAGTTCAGGCTGAACATTCACTCTCTGAAGTACTTCTTCAGGCATGCAAAACACAGGACTAACAGGTTTGATCTGTTCTTCTCCCAAAAGTGATAATCCAGCAATTCCAAATAAAGTATGAAAAGGATCTACCTAATAAAAAAATAAGAATTTATAGAGTATTACTAAGTGAAAACTTCTAAAAAGCCTGCTACTGAACAGTAGTTACACTGGATCCCAACTGTATTTCCTTTACTTGCATGTATGGTTTTATGTTTACTGAAATAAAAATCATTTTAAATTGTGGTTTCTAACAACAGACCTTTACCATACAATAATTTTTTGTCAACAAATGATGAGAAATTTCTTATAAACTTGCTTTCTATCCCTTGTATATTCTCAAATAAAAATTACCAAAAAAAAAAAAAAAGAGAAAAATCTGAGTTTCAAAGCAACACTTGGAATACCATACATACATTTCAAAGATTAGAAATGCTTAGAAACATAGTAAAAGTAAGCAACACTAAAAATACGCCTAATGAACATGTCAGAAATATACTTGCCATATCTCCTGGCCTGTCTGCAAATCCTCCTGTTTCTTCATCTTGACATGCTAATATGAAACTACGCAGTTTTTCTCTATCAATCCAATGAAGCCTTCCAATTATCTTTAGGGAAGCCAACACCCACCATGAATAGCATACATCTGGTAACTAGAAGAAAGCCACAAAAAGTTGCCACAATTTCATTCTCTTGTTCAAACAAGGTTGGGGGAGTGGGGGTGAACAAAGGATACACTGACATGCAGTGCTTGAAATGCTGAAACCCAGAAATACAATTGCTTAGAATTAAAGATAATCACTGGAAAAAAGAAGACCAAACACTCCTATCTACAGAAACTCATGCTAAATGTCTTAGTGTGTCAGTACCCAATGACAACCATCCCTCTTTTATTTCTATCTGAAATGAATGCCTAACTCAGCCCCTTATCTAATATGATGGTGGTAAGGTTCATGAAATCCATGCTGATTTATGTTCCATTTCCCTAAGTAGAGCATTTTTAACAAGTGCTGTTAGGTACATGCCTGCTTAAAGATTATCTAAAGTCTAGCTCCTGAAAACAGTGGTCACTTGAGTTTAAGGTATGCAGAAGATCGTACCTTAGACCAAATAGGAATCTTCAATAGTCACCTTGGGTGACTAACAGGCATATTAAAAGCTGTCCTGGATCATAAGTGTAGCTTCCTGGCAATCCGACCCCCACCCATTTTTTAAATTGTGGAAGTTGCCCAGATTTTTTTCACTGACCCTTAACTAGAAACCAATTGTGGGTATTTCCCTACCTGCCCCTACCACACTTACTCAGAAATACCAAGCAAAGTTAAACAAATATATGACCCAGATGAAAGCACAATGACCTATCCTGTTTTAGGTCAGCAACCAATCAAGATACAGCTGTTGAGTTAAACCTAGACTACAACCAAAAAAGTTTTTTTAAATATAGGAAATTTAATTCCCTTCCTCCAAATCACAATGTCAAAAATTGTTTCTATGACTTAAAAAAAAATTTTTGAATAAAAGATTTTAGGCTTAAAAAAAATCTGATTTAGCAAATCCATTGCCCTTGCACACTCCTAAGTGGATATGGAGATTTCAATACAATATGCATGTGCGTGCTTAACAGCAGTCCTTAATCCCCAGATGCAAAGCTTTTAATATATGACTGATGCCCTGGTATAAGTCCTCAACTAAAAAGTCTGAAAAACCGGCTTCATTTCAGTGCCAAAAATATACAGGACTTTCAGAAGTAGGGAAGGGAAAAGATCCTTTAAGAATTCATGCTGTGTCTGAATACAATATATATGCCATTATAGCATTCTCCTTCAGAAACTCAAGAGTCTATTTCAGGATAGGGAAAACCAAAAGACAGACTTGTGGTAAAAAGAGCATCATAAAGTACCATGCATAGCTTTTCTTCAGGAGTGATTTTTAAATGGATGCCACGGTTAATAAGCATTTCAACCCTAGCTGTTTTATTCTTGTGCAGGAAACTTTTTAGAAAGCACACATAAGAACTACAACAGGGAGAAGAAAAAGCTCATTATCAATTTATTGGAGCAATACCAAAATATCTAAGACAAGTATTCACTCAAGGTTATAAAGCTACTAGATCAGTTTATCTTATGAAACAATACCTTCTCTGGTCTTCCATTGAGTCCACCTGATGGTAACTGTCTTTCACAGAGCCACCAACCAAGTAAATCGGAATTAATTTGATGCAACTGACTAGTAATAGCCAGGAATCCTGTGCAACAATAGATCTAAAATTACAGACATAAAGTTCATGTGTATGATTTTTCAAAAGTAACAAAGTGATAAAAACTACTCAAATTAAAACCCCATTATATGCCTAAAAATGTGCTTTCAGATAATTGTATTAGAGTTGCAAAAGTAAATATCACAACTACTTGAACAAATCCAAGCATACTACTACTGGCATCCAATAATGCAATGAAATACTGCTGTCAAAATTTCTTCATGGCTTAAAATCAAGTTTTATATGCCAATTATTTACAAATACCACAGGTCTCTAGCATTAACAGGTGTTCAGGACAAGTTAGAAAACTTAAGTTTTCATCTACTTAAATAACAAAGGGAAATCAAAGTATTTTTGGTGATTACAAACCTACTTATTTTTGTCTGGGCCAGAAGGTTCCACCAACAGGGGACTGTATATAAAGCAAATCACTGTAAAAATGCCTTTCCCAATCAGCAACTAAGGAATTCTTATGTTAACATCTCACATTACATTCAGTCAAATTGACTTCATATTTAACAGACACTGAAATTGCCACTGACACATTTTCCCAATTACACGATATCCTTTTCACACTGGCACATTTTAATCTGCAGTAATATTACCTGCCCAGCATGAGATTCAGAACCTGGCCTACAGCCAAATCCACCATCAAAATTCATACATGATAAAACAAATTCGATTGCCTTTTCCACATTAATAGCATCAAGTTTCCCCTATAAAGAGAAAAAAATACACCTATTATATTCCAGGATAATCATGGACACTTCATCATTCCAATAAAATACTCAAAACTTACTAATAGAGCCAAAGTTGCCACTGCACAAAAGGAGAATCTTGTATCAATTTCTCCTAAAAGAAAAAAAGGATAAAACCAAAATGTTATCAGAGGCTTCTGATCGTAACAAACAGCGCCAAGTTAACAAAAAACAAACTGCACAATAACCAGTTAAATTTCCAGTAATCATTAGTTAATGTTTAACATTTTAAGTTGCCAGGAGGAAAGCTAAATCTGAAGTGCAATCACTTTACTTATAAGGAAAGTTCTAAGGAAACTAGAACTTTGGACAGAGGAAAATGCTTTGTCAAAAATTATCTGACATTGCTTACCAAGTGCCCAGAAAGGGAAGGTAACCAACAGAACCAAAAGGACTACTCAATTTCTACTAATGACAGTATAAACTTACCCTATTACATAAATGTAGATTTTCACATCCCATGAAGCAGCTGGTCTCTCCGGCCTGAACTGTACTCAGCCCTAAAGCAGAGATTTATCAAGTAAAATACTACTCCCTCCCTCCACTCAAATATTCAGTAAGTTTGTAAAGTTTTTTGAGTATTTTTACCTTGCAACTAAGTAGTTTTTAAAAAAACTTTACAAAGCCACCAAATACTGGGTAAAAAAAAATTCACCTACCTTATCTTTTAGATTGGCCCCCTCTTTTCCAGTGCTCCTGTATGCTGATATAACCAGCACAGTGCATGCTGGAACTTCCAGCAGACCATTAACTTGTTAGACCAGCTGCTTAGTGGGACCTGAAAAGATAAAAACTTAAAATCTCTTTATCATAAAAATTATTAGCAAAGCCTCCCATTTGCTATACTTAAAATTTGCAACAAAGCCTGTTACTATTAAAAAAAACCCCACCAAAACAGGACATTTTTAATATTGCTATTTTGGGTAACATGGATTAAACTGACATTACCCCAAATATCTCCAGCAAAAGAACCATCTTCTTTCTGTAGACTCTGAACATATTCCACAACTTTATTTACATCAATAGCATCAATACTATCATACAAAGTAAGAATCTGCAACAACAAAAAACATGTTAATAACTTTCTTCAACATGGCTCAATCTGTTCTAATGATGCTCTTCAACTGTTATAAGTTGCCAAGTATGTCCTTTTGTCTATCCGTGTGAACTTTCTCAAACACGCAATCTTTTACTATGCAATTATAGACATTATCCACAGATCCAACCCTTTAACCATTAAGCATTTATTTTCTACAATTTAGCATTCCAAGACACTTATACTTACACATAAGCTTTAAACCCATATTTATGGATCTTCACCCACATAAAAATTAAAACAATTAATCCCACTCAGTGGTTTTCAAGAATTTATATATACTGAAGATAAACATTTTACCAAGGTCTCAGTGTAATTTTAGAATTTTACATCAACTTTGACTCAGCTAATACATGCCATCACATCACTGACCTTGTAAAACAGACTTCATTTGAAAAGCTTACAGCAACTTTTTGACATTTACACTCATTTTGTCAACTTCCTAATACCTAATTTCCCACTCTAAGGTAAAGAGAATACACAGACTGCTAAATTCAATTAGTATTTACCTGAACAGCACTAAGAGTGTACAAAAGATGAGGATCATGTCCAATACTAGCACTTACTCCACCACACTCATGTTGACAAGACTTTATAAATGTCAGAATTTCTTCTCTATTCATGCGATGTAGTTGTCCCATGAGATCCATTACGGTCAGACCCCAATAGATGCCACTCATTCTCAAATACTCAGACATACAGTATTCCTAAAATACACAATTACTTTAATGTGCCAGCTTGAACTAATGTAGGGTAAAACACATTGAATACATACAGCTAACTAGCCACATTGGTATTTTTTACTTCACTGATCCCATCGTCAGTAGTGAGTTTAAACTTGTGGCTCTCAAATTTGGGGGGAGACCATCTGAGAAGAGAGAACACGATTAACTTTGCTGTGACTGACAATACAAATAGGTCTTTAATCTCTCCCAAGAACCAACCCTAAGTCAGAAAACACCTACACTTTTCAAGTTCAGGGGCAATGAGAACATTCTTTCAGAGTATCTACACAGTATTTATTAGACATCCATCCTTTTAATATGCGGACTATGTACAAAACCTATTTATTATCTATTAGTAAATGATGCAATCTGAAAAACAAAATAGCCAAGGCATGCAAAAGGAAAGATAAAACAGCTAACATTGGCTAATCAGAGATGTAAACTGATACAGGAAAGAGTGCATAAACAAATTTTTGCTAGTCACCTGTGCATTACATTTTAAACTTTTGAACCAGGTGATCTCAGTATATCGCTGAGAATCTAAATTCAGGATTTAAGTATCAGCAAGTACAATATTTTCCAAGATGGTAAATAATTCAGCTGTTTAGATAGCTGAACGAAAAATATTTACTTTGTTGAGTTGTTCTTTTTTTTTTTTCTAAGATTGTCCCAAAGAGGAAAACTATTCTTCAAAGCTTCTAAGTTAAGGTAAAACTTCAAGGTCTCAGAGTAATTCTAGAGCAGAAGTGTTATCACACACCAGCCATGAATTCAGATAATACATGCCAACACATCACTGACCTTTAAAGTATTACCTCCACTACAAAAGCAGAAACTATTCTGGACGTCAAACCTCTTACAAATCAGGACAGGAAGGGAATCTACTTTGCAAAGGCCTCTAAAAACCATGGTTAATTCTGATGGACACTCAACCTCAGATATCCAAAGGTACAGTCACTGCATTTCAAAAATACTATCTTCAGTTCTTGGTACACTGGAGTTTGTTACCATTTTTACAAAACATAGGCCATAAATTCTGACCATAGTGCCTATGCAGGCTGATCTGGCTTCTTTTAAAAAAGTTTTCAAAATAAAATGATACATACATAATCATCTTTTTTTGAGCCATAGGAAGCAATATAATCTGCATGCTTCTCTAATAGTAGGGTGTCAGGTGCATCTGACTTGATAGTAACATCCTTCTGCGGTGTGCCCTTTCAAAAAAAAAAAAAAGTGATTTCATAAACCTTTCTTTTAATGTCTGACCCCAGAGCATATACTCAGTATACATCTGAGCCTTTGATTCCAAACTGCCATACAAAAATTTTCCACATAAAAACTGCCCAAGTATCTGACTAAAAATAAACACTTAAATCCCTAACAAAGATTCAGGTATTTTTCAGGTCTCAGAGTAATTCTAGAGCTAAAGTAGTTAATAATCAACTTTAGATTCAGAATACATGCCAGCTCATCATTGACCCAAAAATTACTACCTTCATCTGTTATCTTTTACTTAAAAGTAAACATTAAAATAAAAATCTAGCTAGTCCATAATTTGCAGTTAAATTCTCTAATTTTATTAATCCTAGAAACTTGGGTTTCAAAACACCTTCTACACACCCCAGAAGCTATTCAATTCATCAAAAAACAATCCCTTTTGCCTCTAATTCTCCAGCTTTAGTCTCTTCAATTTCAACAAGCCCCGAGGTATAAGGATGGGGTTCTAGTTCCCCGCATTTCTCATTTAGATCTTGGTGAGACTGCACAGTATTAATCAAAAGCGGATAATCATGATTACCTAAAACAATTTATTGAATGTCCTTCAAACCAAATTTAAAATGTACTAAATCTTCAACGAGACCATACTTATGAGCCTAAAGAGTTTGTCATTAAATAAAATACACACATATATGTATGTAAGGAAGCCACAACAACCGATTGGGTCGGCTCTTCTGAGGGATTAAGAAATCTGGCCCGCCAGTAAGGAGGAAACCAGGGTAAAATTAAAAGCAGCAAACTAGCCGCCCGATCTTCAGAAAACGCTGAGTAATACATAACCCTCTCTGAGCCCTCAGGAAACCTTCCAAGAACGGTGTCTTAGCTCAGCCATTCTCCAATACTTGGTAAACAACCCTCTGGTGACTGAGCTGCTCAATATTTTCGCAGTCGGCCTTGTCCGGACCCACCCGGACATCACCGCAAATCCCTCCGTCACGTACCATGTCTGAGAGAGGAAAGGGAACTCAGCTCGTTCCTGGGTAGATTTAGGAGGCTAGCGCCTGCGCAGAAGCGCCACACAGGTCCCCTCAGTGCTCTACATAGCTGACCACACTCCTGCCTGTAGGGAGGAGTACTGCCAGGTCTGCCCTAGAACCCTACCATAGTTGTCCTCGCTGCCTGAGCCCAAAGTTTGTGGTGCCCGCTGTCTCCTCCTGTATACCTCGATTTGTCTAAAACAGTTTTAACTAACGTTTGAATATCTGAAGTGCTTTGAAGAAATAATTTATTCTTCAGGCGGTTTGATTTCTGAAGAGCTGGAGTGGCTGGTAATTAGCAGAGTTCTTGCACTTAGTAAGTATTCGGTAAATGTTTTTTGAGTAGGTGTTGATGAAATGTTCACATTCGCCTGTTTGCATGGGCCGATCCGGATACAGCTTCCTCACCTAGTCCCTCCACTTCAGAAGTGCTAACAGCTGAAATATTTGGAAATTACTTCAGGAAAAGAAACACTTGAGTGCGTTTTTCGAGCTTTCCACAGAATGCAGATTTGCTAGGGTTGTTATTACAGCTATTTTCATTTGTGCTTCCTTAGGTCTTTTATACCTAAGTATTTTTGAGTACTTGTTAGAAAACATGGCACGTCATACCTGAAAATGCATTGCAATCAGTAACGATTTGGAGGTGTTCCTGGCAGTGGCATATGTGGGCTATCAATAATTGAGAGTGTTGACTCATCTATGATAATAGATTTTGTTATCTCTCTCTGTACTTCTGTTGATGTTACCCTTTATAGTTTGAGGCTACTTTATTAAATACATATAACCTAGGTCATACATTTCTGGTGAGTTGGAGGCTTTTATCATTAAGTGATGACTGCAGTTTTCACTTTAAAAAGTCTGCATTGTTAAATAGTACTGTAATTTCTCCAGCATTCTTTTGCCTGTAAATCAGATGCAGGAGGTGTGTGGAGGAGTGAGGGAAACCAAAGCACAGAGAGAGGTCAGATCTTCTGTGAAAAACAATGCTTAAAATAAGAATAAATACAAGTTTCAGATACAAAAAGTAACATTCAGATTGAGTGAAAAACTGCTGATAGAATGAAAAATAAGCCTCAATTCCTACTTCATAAATCCATTCAACAAATATGGTTGCATGAACATCTAGCTCACAGGGCCTTGATGAGTCCATTACACTCAAGGCATTGGATGTCTAGAATGTGCTAAATACCATTCTAGATTTTGGTAATACAATGGTGAGCCAAGTGGAAATATGTTCTAGCAATTCTCATAATTACATTTACAATTAAATTTCTTGGTATTTGTCCTACAAATATACTCCCTTGGGTATGAAGTGGCTTATGTGCAAGAATGTTCATAGCAGCAGAAGGCACTCCTTCCGGGGCTCTGCTGACTTCCTGAAACATCAACGGCAAGTTCCACCGATGGGCAACAGCCCACATTGTCTTTTGCCCTGTGTGCAACAAACGCTGTTGAAATCATTGGGCTCCATCAGAGGCAGGCTTTCCTTCTAGCCAATGTACCTGGGCCAATGTATCCGCTTCATCATTCCCTGGGGATGCCAAAGGAAAATGGCGAGTTACATGACATATGGTAACTGTCTTAGTCTGACCAGAAGCCCATAGGTCTTTGCACAACTTTTGCCCCCAGTGGGGCCAGTGACTAACCGTCAATTGGCATGGTACCATGTCAGTAGCCACAGGTCAAGCCCCAGTAGACAGCCCAGCTGTCAGTGTAGACAACTATAGGGGAGGGCTCCTAGGTGATCATGAGCCATACTACCTGCAACTCAGCCCTTTGCCTGCTCTTCCCCTCTCCATCCTCCATCCCACTTTGGGAGCTGCTCACGACTGGAGCTGTTTGTATACCAAGCATCTTCAGGTATAGGGGCTTTTCCCTCCTAATAAGGCCTCTCAGCTACCAATGGCTCAAAAGCAAGTTCTTTCTGCTTTCTACTAGTAAATGTCACTGGCCCAATAAGTGTTGGAGTTCTCCACTTAAGGGGCTGGTAGGCAGAGTGCTACGCTGCTGTGAATATGCACCCCATTTGGCCACTGTGGGCATCTATGCCATGCCACTCCATGGCCTTTGGTTCTAGTCTTGCACCCACCCCTCAATGGGATAAGTGGTTATTACCTTGGTCAAAGCTGTTCCAGTGATGGGCTCTGTAGCCAGCAAGGCGTGGAACACAGCAGCCAGTTGCTTCTCTATCAAAGTGTACTGTACATCTGCTCCCTTCCATAGTTGTGACCAGAATCCAATAGGTTGGCATGTCCATTCAAGCTGCTGCCAAAGACCCCATCCATAACTGTCTTTGCATGAACATCTAGCTCACAGGGCCTTGATGAGTCCATTTACACTCAAGGCCTGTACAGCCTTGACTGCTCACTTAGCAGCAGTAAAAGCAACTGCACATGTTTCATCCCAGGCCCACCTGATTCCCTTTCATACCAACCATATGTATAGCGGCTTCAGAATTTGTTCCACCTGTGGGATAATCATTCTCCACACTGGGGAATTAAAACAACCTATGAGTGGGCATTATGATGCCCACCTTCTCCAACTCTTGCAGAGTTTCTCCAATTTCCTTGTACCCCCAGGCTATTTTTGCTGTTTAGTATTTGTCACCCACCAAGGTACACATAGAGCTACAGGTGGGGGCTTAGCATGTCCCCTCAGAACTGCCTTTACCACACATACCCGTAGTCTGAACTCACCTGCAGTGGTCAGTAACCATGCTGCAGAATATCAACCACCAAAATATATTCAGGGATGGGATAAATAACACAGTATACTCCTTTGGGGGTAAACGCCCTCTCCCCAATGAGATTTGGGCTTTCTTCACTCTAATTGCCTTACCCTCATAGCCATCACAGCAAGGGTCCCAGGAAAATGTTCAGTGTTGCCATAAATCAAAGAACATTCAGCTCCTGCCTCCACCAGCACCAGAACACATTGTACATTCATGGGGGACCAATGAATTGCTAATTCTACATGTGGCCTCTGGTCCTTACCACATCTCCAAAGGTGGGGAACTTGACCCCCACCTCAGTCAAACTGCAATACCCAGTTGACTTCCTATAGGGGTGATGGCCCAGGTGGAGCCTGAGAACTGTCCCCCAAGAAGTCTTGCAGGGACAAGACCAGACATGGTGCTTTGCCTCCGGCTTCTGTGTCCTGGACCTCAGCGGCTGGAACTGCTGCTCTGGCTTTACTTAGTGCGCAGTTCTAAGAAGATCCTATTGGGCTGCCCATCAAGTTCTTCTTTTACTACCCCTACCTTTATTAAATCAACCCACATCTGTGTCCTTGAGACATTCACGAGGCCCTTTGCACCTCTCCTTTCAGTCATAGCCCATACTTACTTTCATGCTCTTATTGCTTCAACCTCCCCCAGATCTGCTAAAGTACGAGCAGCCTCACTTATGGGTTGCCCTATGTTGGGGGCAGTAATAGTTACTAGGGACCCAAAGAGAGATGAGGAAGCTGTATGGAGCACCAGATTTCTTATTCCTATGGTGAACAACTCCTCATCAGATCCCTGGGGTTTCATATTATAGATGATAACTTTCATACCCAGCTCTTGTACCACCTGCTGGAGCTCTGCATACATTTTCCAGCTAGTGGATAAGTTGGCCTGATTAGGCCAAACCGCCCTAATGGCAGCTGTCAGCCAATCGAGAAGCACCCGTTCCCTGAGGTGTGTTGGGCATTTTGCAACCTCTGCCAGAGAGAAGGGTGAGTCGACACAGAAGCCAGTCTACTCGTTTTAGAACCTGACATAACAATGTTTTCCACCTCCATATCCCAGAGATGCAAAGGCCACATAGGCAGAGGTTCTGACGGCTTCTACTAAAACTGTATGCCCATGTCCACCAGCTCATCCTGGGTATAGAGGCCGAGCATGAAGTGCTCCACAACCTTGGGAGGGGGCTGCTCCTCCCCATGAAGAGCCCAGCGGTTGTTGTGTTTTTACTTTCTTTAATATGGGAAGGACTAGTGCCTTGGGTGGTGGCCTCCGCAGCAGTTCAGCCCTCTGCTCCACCCTGTCATCCTCCCCTGATATCTCCTCTACCATTTCCTGGGCTGAAGGAACCACTTTCCTCCCCCTCCCCTGACCTCCTGTAATGCCAATTCTCCAGCTACATCCTCCCTTGCTGCTAATCTATCTTCCAGGAGCATGGCCTGTCTTCTCAAAAACTCTCTCTTTCTTAAGGGCATCCCATAGGCCATCACCCAGCTCCTCCAGGTGACACTGAAGTATGTCTCTCTCTCCTTGATAACCCTTTCTACTATCTTGAGAAATAAACATCCCACAATCCAAGCTGCTACAAGGCCACTCAGGACCTCTAGGCAGCCTTCTATGTCACGGAGGACTAATTCCTGGCTTCCAGTGTCTCCATCCTTCCCCATTTCTGGGGAACAGCCCACCCATCTAGGAGGTGCTTTACTCTAGACCAGTTCCCTACTAGGGGTTCCCCAGTTGGAAGCCTCACAGATGGGGGCTCCTGGGTGAAGCTGAATCCTCCACTGCTGCTGGCACCAGGTCCTCCCCACCATCCACAGGGAGGTTTCCAGGTATCTCCCCACCATCCTTAGTGACAGCCTGCCCAAGTGTCACACCCATGAGGACAGATTTCTGGTTCAGAGGTCCTGCTGACTACTGCCAGGTGTAACTCCAGGGGAATAGGAAGTTCCCAGCCCAGGGCTAATTACCTTTGAAGTCAAAATCAGTCAAAGGGACAAATAAAGCAGGAGAAACCCATTTATTGCCTACAAGCAGCCATCCACTTCTGCTTGCAATTTTACCCATAGCACCCATTTAAAAAAATGAAAGATCTGCATGCATTGCTATGGAAAGTTCTCCAAAATATATTAAGTGAAAACAAAAACAAAGTGCCAATACTATGTATAGTATGCTACTATTTGTATAGGAAACAAAGAAAAAAAATTGGTATATTTGCAAATGTACAGAATTACTAAAAGTTGCATATAGGAGAAATGGGTGGTTGGAGACAGGATTTAAGGAAGGTTTGCTTT